CTGGGGACACCTGCGGAGCCAGCCAGGTGTGCCGGGACCTGCCCGACGGCTACACCTGCACCTGCAGGGCGGGGTACAGCCCCGACAGGTGAGGGGACACACCTGGGGACACACCTGGGGACACCTGGGACACACCTGGGGACACACCTGGGGACAGTTCGGGATACCTGGGGACACCTGGGGGGACCTGGGAGGACCTGAGATACACCTGGGGACAGCTGGGGACATCTGGGGACACCTGGGACACACCTGGGGACACCTGGACACACCTGGGGGGACCTGGGACACATCTGGGGACACCTGGGGATATCTGGGACACACCTGGGGACACCTGGGGACACCTGGGGACACACCTGGACACACCTGGGGACACCTGGGCACACCTGGACACACCTGGACACACCTGGGGACACCTGGACACACCTGGTGTGGATTTTTAGCCAGATTTGAGATTTCCCAGCAGGAATTTTATCATTTTGAGCTCATTTTTACGATTTCCCAGGCGGATTTTTTGAGGAAAAAAACTCAGGATTCGAGGAAATTTCTTCATAAATTTTGAAATTTCGGAAAAATTTTGGGAAAATTTTGTTGTTTTTTTTTTTTTCCAGTTCAGCCATTCACGGGCGGGGCCTGTTCTGCAAGCGGAACATCGAGGCCGGAGAGATGGTGATAGAATATTCCGGAATCGTCGTGCGCTCCGTGCTGACCGACAAGAGGGAGAAGTTCTACGACAGCAAAGTGAGCGAAATTTTGGGGTGAAAAACCCCCAAAAACGGCAAAAAACAGCCAAAAAAAATGAGGGGAAAAAAATAAAAGAAAGAGGATTTTACTTTAAAAAACGGGGGGAGGGGAAAAGGGGAGTGGAGTCCTTAAAAAATGGGGGGAAACGTTAAAAATGAGGAAAATTGGGAGGGAAAATGCAAAATTTGGGGGGAAAAGCGGAAAAAATGGGGAGGAGAGCCCGAAATTCGGGTGATGGAGTTAAAAAACAAGGGAAAGTTTAAAAATTGGGGGGAATGTTTTAAAAATGGGGAAGATTTTGAGAATGGGGGGGGGAAAATCCCCCCGAAAAAATGATGTGGGAAAACGGGAGGGATCCACCAAAATTTGGGGAAAAACGGAGGAAAATGGAGGAAAATTGAGGGGAAAATGGGGGAAAATGTGAGGGGAAAATGGCGGAAAACGTGAGGGGAAAATGGCGGGAAAATGTGAGGGGAAAAGGGCGGAAAACTTGAGGGGAAAAGGGCGGGAAAACGTGAGGGGAAAATGGCGGAAAACCTGAGGGGAAAATGGTGGAAAACCTGAGGGGAAAAGGGCAGGAAAATGTGAGGGGAAAATGGCGGAAAACGTGAGGGGAAAATGGCGGAAAACGTGAGGGGAAAATGGCGGGAAAACGTGAGGGGAAAAGGGCGGGAATCATGAGGGGAAAATGGTGGAAAACGTGAGGGGAAAATGGCGGAAAACCTGAGGGGAAAATGGCGGAAATCCTGAGGGGAAAATGGTGGAAAACTTGAGGGGAAAAGGGCGGGAAACGTGAGGGGAAAATGGCGGAAAACCTGAGGGGAAAATGGTGGAAAACCTGAGGGGAAAATGGCGGAAAACGTGAGGGGAAAATGGCGGAAAACGTGAGGGGAAAAGGGCGGGAAAACCTGAGGGGAAAATGGTGGAAAACTTGAGGGGAAAATGGCGGAAAACCTGAGGGGAAAATGGCGGAAAACCTGAGGGGAAAAGGGCGGGAAATGTGAGGGGAAAAGGGCGGAAAACCTGAGGGGAAAAGGGCGGGAAAATGTGAGGGGAAAAGGGCGGGAAAACGTGAGGGGAAAAGGGCGGGAAAATGTGGGGGGGAAATGAGAAGAATATTATGGGATGGCGAACCTTTTCCGATATCCCACACCCTTGACCACACCCAACCCTTGACCTCCAACCCTTGATCTCCAACCCTTGACCACCTCCAACTCTTGACCACACCCCTACCCCTGACCACACCCAACCCTTGACCACACCCAAACGTTGACCACCTCCAACCCTTGACCTCCAACCCTTGACCACACCCAACCCTTGATCTCCAACCCTTGATCTCCAAACCTTGACCACACCCCAACCCTTGACCTCCAACCCTTGACCTCCAACCCTTGACCTCCAACCCTTGACCACACCCCAACCCTTGACCTCCAACCCTTGATCTCCAAACCTTGATCTCCAAACCTTGATCTCCAAACCTTGACCACACCCCAAACCTTGATCTCCAACCCTTGACCTCCAACCCTTGACCTCCAACCCTTGATCTCCAAACCTTGACCACACCCCAAACCTTGATCTCCAACCCTTGACCTCCAACCCTTGACCTCCAACTCTTGACCACACCCAACCCTTGACCACACCCAACCCTTGACCTCCAACCCTTGACCACACCCAAACTTTGACCTCCAACTCTTGACCACACCCAACCTTTGACCACACCCAACTCTTGACCACACCCCAACCCTCGACCTCCAACCCTCGACCTCCAACCCTTGACCTCCAACCCTTGACCTCCAAACCTTGACCTCCAACTCTTGACCACACCCAACCCTTGACCACACCCAACCCTTGACCTCCAACCCTCGACCTCCAACCCTCGACCACACCCCAATCTTCTCCTCCCCTCCCCACCCCTCAGGGCATCGGCTGTTACATGTTCCGCATCGACGAGGCCGAGGTGGTGGACGCCACCATGCACGGCAGCGCCGCGCGCTTCATCAACCACTCGTGCGAGCCCAACTGCTACTCGCGCGTCATCCACGTGGAAGGCCACAAACGCATCGTCATCTTCGCCCTGCGCCGCATCCTGCGCGGCGAGGAGCTCACCTACGACTACAAGTTCCCCATCGAGGAACCGGCGGCCAAGCTGCCCTGCAACTGCGGCGCCCGGCGGTGCCGGCGGTTCCTCAACTGAAAACCGGGGTGGTTTTTTGGGGTTTGGGGGAGGTTCTGGAGATGTTTTTGAGGTGGGGTGTGGTGGTGGTTTGGAGGAGGTTGTGGTGGTGGTGGTGGTGGTGGTGAAGGGAGAGGTTTGGTGGTTGGGTAGGAGTTGTGGTGGTCAACCAAGAATCATGGTGGTCAACCAAGAGTTTTGGTGGTCAATTGAGAGTCATGGAGGTCCACCAAGAGTTCTGGAGATCAACCAAGAATCATGGTGGTCAACCAAGAATCATGGTGGTCAAGCGAGAGTTGTGGTGGTCAGCCAAGAGTTCTGGTGGCCAACCGAGAGTCCTGGAGATCAACCAAGAGTCATTGGGGTCGACCAAGAATCATGGTGGTCAACCAGGAGTGGTGGTCAACCAGGAATCATGGTGGTCAACCAGCTGTCGTGGTGGTCAACCGAGAGTCGTGGTGGTCAACCAAGAGTTCTGGAGATCAACCAAGAGTTGTGGTGGTCAACCAAGAGTTCTGGTGGTCAACCGAGAGTCGTGGTGGTCAACCAAGAGTTCTGGAGATCATCCAAGAGTCATTGGGTTTAACCAAGAATCATGGCGGTCAACCAAGAATCATGGTGGTCAACCAGGAGTTGTGGTCAACCAAGAGTTCTGGAGATCAACCAAGAGTTGTGGAGATCAACCGAGAATCATGGTGGTCAACCAGGAATCATGGTGGTCAACCAAGAATCATGGTGGTCAACCAAGAATCATGGTGGTCAACCAGGAGTCATGGTGGTCAATTGAGAGTCCTGGTGGTCAGCCAAGAGTTTTTGGAGATCAACCAAAACTCATGGAGATCAACCAGAAGTCGTGGAGATCAACCAAAACTCATGGAGATCAACCAGGAATCATGGCAGTCAACCAAGAATCATGGTGGTCAACCAGCTGTTGTGGTGGTCAACCAAGAGTCGTGGAGATCAACCGAGAATCATGGTGGTCAACCAGGAGCTGTGGTCAACCAAGAGTTCTGGTGGTCAACCAAGAGTCGTGGAGATCAACCGAGAATCATGGTGGTCAACCAAGAATGATGGTGGTCAACCAGGAGTTATGGTCAATCAAGAATCATGGTGGTCAACCAAGAGTCCTGAAGGTCAACCAAGAGTCCTGGAGATCAACCAAGAGTCATGGAGATCAACCAAGAATCGTGGTGGTCAACCAAGAATCGTGGTGGTCAACCAAGAGTTGTGGTGGTCGACCCAGAGTCCCGCGAAGAAGACGTTTGGATGCTCCCAAAAGTCCTTGAGATGACTCCAACCACCTGGAAAACCCCCAAAAACCACAGGAACGAGATTTTGGGGCTCTCCTGGAAGCTCTGGAGATGCCTCCAACCGTGGAGACCCCCCCCCAAAAAAGAGACTTTGGGGTTCTCCCAGCGACCCCTCCCCCCCCAAATCCCCTC